CCTGCGCCCCCGGCCGGAGCCCGGGAGGGGAAGTGCCCGGCCGGGGCGCAGGGTCCAGAGGCATGGGGGCTGCCTGAAGCCCGAGCGCTACCGGCTTCACGGTTTGCACTTACCCTCCCGGGCTCCGGCCGGGGGCGCAGGGTCTGGGGGCTGCCCGGCAAACCGTGAAGCCGGTAGCGCTCGGGCAGCCCTTTTTTGCGTGGCTGGGAGGGAGGAGGGGTAATACGGGGCACTCAGGGGAGGGGGTGGAGTTGGGGTGGGGCTGGGGGTGGGAAAGGGGCGGGGCCAGGGCACCGTGGAGTGTCCTCTTTTTTTATTTTTTAAATATGGTAACCCTAGAAATAAATTACACACAGAATTTTGGACAGATTTAGATTTCTAGAGTTTAATGATCATTCCCCTCTTGATTTAGATTGCTTAAATTAGGTAGTGTTTTTAGAGTGCTACATAATTGCTAAGTTGTTTTCTTACATATGCAGCAGATATGTGATTTATTTTTTCCTGGAATAAAGATGGTTTGTTTTCTTTACACCAGCCAGTGTTTGAATGGAACAATGAAATGCACTGAAACTGCTACAACTGCAGGTGATTTATATTCTTGTCTTATTTTACAGTTTCACGGGGAAAATGTTTGCTATCGAGTATTCATTCATTTGCATTTTTATATTCATATACATCTCATCAGATGCTAAATATCACCACTTTTTGTGACAATGATTTTTTTCAGTCTAAAGTTACTTATCTTGACCTAACTGACTTTCAATGCAACTTGTATTCCTAAGTCACTTAAGCAGAATTTTTAAAAGCACCTCTTGTAAGACATAGGCCACAATTTTCAAACATGGGTGCCTAAAATTAACCCCCCAAATTCCATATTAAAACATCTAAAGGAAGAAACCTGATTTTCAGAGGTGCAGAGCAGATGAAATTTCAGTTGGATTTCTGATGGAATTTGTGAGTGCTCAACACCTCTGAAAATCAAGTCACTTCATTAAGGGCTGATCCAAAGCACACTGAAGTGATTGGTAATTGACTATAATAGGCTGTGGATCAGGCCCTTGGTGCCTTGATTTAGATGCCTAACTTTAGGCACTGAAGTTTTCAATTTTGGACCTTAGTTAATAGATATTCTTAATGAAATAATTACACAGAATATAAACGAAAATGCACATTTTCACTTTAACTGCAGTCGAACACATACAAAATGCACTTAGTTTAAATAGTATATCTTATTAATTACAATATTTTTAAAAATAAATTGTGAGCTAAAAGAATTAGAAACCTTCAGTGCAAAGGAGCAGCTGATCTCATTCAATTTGCATTTTACATTTGAAGTTCACACATGCCCTGAAGGAAAAATCTACTATGACTGCAGATATCCGGTGCCTGGCTTACCAGCAGCTGGTGTGAACTGTGAGATCTCCTGTGCAAACCTTGCCATGAACTTCACCTGTGTGCCATCACCACCATGTGCAAGTGGTTGTATCTGCCCCCCAGGGTAAGTGTAAGCCAGAGTGTTTAGTAGAGCCACGGGGACGGAATACTTTGCCTCCACAGGGACCCCCTGTTCTTTTTTTTTCTTCAGATAGTTCAATTTGCAAATTTCATTCTTCTGTTTTGCTTGCAAACATTTGAATCTATCATGCTGTCTTTTTTTTCTGAGATGCAAAATCGTGATTGTTATCTGTACCACTGACCCTTTCTCTTGTCTCCGTGAGTGCAACCCCCACAGGTGCTAGGCCTCATGCTTTACCTTTTCTTCACAGAATCCTGCAGTTCTCTCAATTTTAGATCAGGTCCTAGGCTACAGGGCCTTGTGCATCAACTGTGTGTACCCTAGCTAGTCTGACTGGGTTTGGAATCTGCACTTCTTCCCTTTGGGAGCCTATGACCATGGGTTATGATGACCCAAAACAGCCTTCCCTAAAGCTAATGTAATAAATATATTTATTTAGCCATAGGAACAAAGCATAACATAAGAGAAAATGATTATAAAACAACAAAAGGTCTCCATTCATTTCTACCTTACCTAGAGCCCTAGGCAGGCCAGTCTTACTCTCTGGGGGATTTGTCTGGTGAGTGCCACAAGAGGTTGAGCCAGAGCATCAAAGAAAATGGTTCCTGCATTGTCTCTCAAATGTTTACTGTGCAAAATGTATATCCGGATCCACTCCTGCCACCCTTCTTGGATGCATTTCCTGACAATCATGCTATTGAATTAACTCAACATATGGATGCACTACACATCACAATAACCTGGTCACGATACAGTATTAATTATACGAGCAGTTCCAAATCCACCACACTGACATACAGTTGATTTAAGTTGGAAAGGCCAAAGGTACTACAGATATAAAATGATGTGACTCTGTTTACCTGTTTTTAACCACCATCAGGGCCGGCTCCAGGGTTTTGGCCGCCCCAAGCAGCCAAAACCAAAAAAAAAAAAAAAATGCCGCGATCGCGATCTGCGGCGGCAATTCGGCGGGAGGTCCTTCACTCCGAGCCAGAGTGAGGGACCGTCCGCCGAATTGCTGCCGAATACCTGGACCTGCCGCCCCTCTCCCAAGCAGCCGTCCCAAGCACCTGCTTGAGAAGCTGGTGCCTGGAGCCAACCCTGACCACCATAATCCATCTCAGATTGTGTTGGATGAAACTGTGATGATAAACATTAAAATCTTAGTTGATTTATTTAAAGATTAGCCTTTCACTTTGTTGCATGGAAAATAAATTCACATTTAGTGCATAATTAGTGGTAAATTATGTTTCTGTATTTCATTGTACTGTTCAGGCATGCAGGCTCAATTTGTTTTTCTAGTCCCAAGCCCAATAGAATAAAATAGTGTTATCTCCAAAATATTTGGGTTAGAAATTATTTCTGTTTTACAGAAAAAAAATGTAACTAATAGGCTTTCTGATATCCAATTTATATGGAGTGTGACTGAAAGACAGTCCTGGGCAGGTTACAGACTTATTATAAATTTGCAATTGTAAGGCACTAGTGCTAGCCTCAGTTGATATAGTCAATTGTTAGAAAGAGATGTTGAGGAACAAGAGATAATAGTGATCAGAGGTATCAATGAGACCAGGCTAATCTTTACCCCTCCTTCTAATTGTGAACAATTCTGTTTAATTTTTAAAAAGAAAATCCTATTATTAAAAACTTTCTCCCTGCCATTGAGTTAAAAAAAAAAAAGACTAGTTTTATATCTTACGTGACTGAAGAACCCCTTGATGCCAACTGGTAAATGGGTACAAGAATATCCTGATTCTGGTATGTGTGTTCTGATCTCAAATGAAAGCCGTGTCACACTGGTTATTTATAATTTTGTGAAATATATGTGCAGGTATTACGAAAGCAGCACTGTGTGTGTGTGTGTGTGTATGTATATATACACATATATTGTGTGTGTGTGTGTGTGTGTGTGTATGTGTATATATATACACACACACACACACACACACACAATATATGTGTATATACACACACACACACACAATACCTGCACATAATATATACGATACTCTGAAACGTTTTAAAATCTATACCAAGGTACTGCTCACCATCAGATGTGCAAAACAGCTTTTCTGTCAGGCAAGAGATGTGTGTCCATCTGTCTGGTTGTTTAAATGTAAATGTAAGTATTGTCTCATTCACAATGGGTTCCCAGTTACCTGTCTGAGCTGAATGCAGATGAAGGATTGTAAGAATTTCAGAGAGGAACTAACAGGTAGAGGAACACATCTGGGGAAGAGAACCTTATCTTGAGATGCACTTCAAAGGTTTGCTGGGTTATATTTGCAGAATAAAGAAGATACTCTGTCATCCTGCTCCTGTTTACATTTAGGAAATGGGATCTCAGGCAGCTGAAAATCCTGAAAAGGACTTTGGATGAGATAAACTTCTTTAGACAGGAGGTTAACCTATTAATTAAGTTTAGTCTCTTGCAAGTGTGTTATGATTTTGTTGTATATGTACCCGAGGACTGGAAAAGGGCAAATATAGTACCTATCTATAAAAGGAGGAATAAGAACAACCCAGGGAATTATAAACCAGTCAGCGTAACTTCATTACCTGGAAAGATAATGGAGCAAATAATCAAGCAATCAATTTGCAAACACGTAGAAGAAGAAAAGGTGATAAGTAACAGTCAACATGGAATTGTCAAGAACAAATCATGTCAAACCAACCTAATATCCTTCTTTGACAGGGTAACAAGCCTTGTGGATAGAGGGGAAGCAGTAGATGTGATATATCTCGACTTTAAGGCTTTTGATGCTGTCTCACATAACTTTTTCATAAACAACGTAGAGAAAAATAGCTTAGATGAACCTATTGTAAGGCAGGTGCACAACTGGTTGGAAAAACATACTCAGAGAGTAGTTATCAATGGTTCACAGTCAAGCTGAAAGGGCATACAGAGTGGGGTCCCATAGGACTTTGTCCTGGGACCGGTTCTATTCAATAGCTTCATAAATGATTTGGATAATGGCAGAGAGTACACTTAAGAAGTTTCTGGACGATACCAACCTAGGAGGACAGGATTAGAATTCAAAATGATCTGGAGAAATAATCTGAAATAAATAGGATGAAATTCAATAAGGACAAGTGCAAAGTACCACACATTGGAAGGAATAATCAATTGCACAAATACAAAATGGAAATTGCCTAGGAAGGAGTACTGCAGAAAAGGATCTGGGGGTTATAGTGGATCACACACTAAATATGAGTCAATAATATAATACGGTTGCAAGAAAAGTCCACATCCTTTAGGGATATATTAGCAGGAATGTTGTAAGAAAGATGCAATTCTTCCACTCTACTTGGCACTAATAAGGCCTCAACTGGAGTATTATGTCCAGTTCTGGTCAACACACTTTGGGAAAGATGTGGACATATTGTAGAAAGTCTAGAGGAGAGCAACAAAACTGATTTAAGGTCTAGAAAACATGACCTATGAGCGAATATTGAAGAAATTGAGTTTGTTTAGTCTGGAGAAGAGAAGACTGAGTGGGGATTTGATAACAGTCTTCAGGTACGTAAAAAGTTGTTTCAAAGAGGAGGGTGATAAGTTGTTCTCCTTAACCACTGAGGACAGGGCAAAAAGTAATGGGCTTAAATTGCAGCAAGCATTATTTAGTTTAGACATTTGGAAAAACTTCCTAACTGTAAGGGTAGTTATGCACTGGAACAAATTACCAAGGGAGGTTGTGGAGTTTCCATCATTGGAGATTTTTAAGAACAGGTTAGACAAACATCTGCCAGGGATAGTCTAGATAATATTTAGTCCTGCCTCAGTGCAGAGCACTGTACTAGATGACCTGCTGAGATCCCTTCTAGTCCTACATTTCTATGATTCTATGATTTGTTTCCAATAATCTTACTCAATATCTGCTGAATCTCTAATCTTTGATGATGATCTTATTCTTGTTTTCACTATAAATATATCTTAGTTCTGTGGTGTTAAGCAAAGGGATGGTTCTGAACTGAATCTTACAAGCTGTGAGTATAGTGTTCCCTTGGGCTCAGCAAACCTGGTATTTCTGTGAGTAGCCAGTGTCGGGTTGGATGTTGCAGAGGATTGCTTCAAAGGGACTCAGGAACTGGGGTGCACCTGTTGTTAGCCTGCAAGGCAAAGTAAGGGCTGGCATAGCTCAGAGAAGAATGCTTGAGTGGCTAACAGGCTGGTTGTGACGGGAGCTAAGTACAAGCAAAACTCCCTCTTGTTGGAGGCAGAGGGTAACAGGGTGACTCATAGTCTTGGGTACCCCGCTACCCATTACATCTTATTAATTTGAAAAAAAAAATACAAACTCATCCTTAATGCTAGTGATAATACTGGGAAAACATTACTGTGAACTTTGTTTTAATTTTTAAGTGAAGGATCCTCAAACTTATTCATAGTGTGGATGGCATCTATTTGCATAGACCACTTCCCCACTTAGCCACAACGGCAGCTACAGCAATTGCTTCCCTAGAGCGTAATATCAGGAAAGCATGTAGTATGTCAGGGGTCAGCAACCTTTCAGAAGTGGTGTGCCGAGTCTTCATTTATTCACTCTAATTTAATGTTTTGTGTGCCAGTAATACATTTTAACATTTTTAGAAGGTCTCTTTCTATAAGTCCATAATATATAACTAAACTATTGTTCTATCTAAAGTAAATAACGTTTTTAAATGTTTAAGAAGCTTCATTTAAAATTAAATTAACATGCAGAGCCCCCCCGACCAGTGGCCAGGACCCAGACAGTGTGAGTGCCACTGAAAATCAGCTCGCGTGCTGCCTATGCCCAACATAGGTTGCCTACCCCTGTAGTATATTTTAGCTGTTCTTTTATGTAGCTGAGCAGCTGGAGGTAAGAAGGCAGCACAATGTGACCAGCCAGCTTTCTGGACCACCAGCAGGTTTTCCAGTGACCAGCAATGTTATACTGGCCACAGTTGAAAAACTGTGCTTTAGGTGGTTAGTTAAAGCTCACGTAGTTGGATTTTCACTTTAAACAATGATTTGTTTTCTATTTTGAAGGATGGCAGAGCATAAAGGGAAATGTTATGTTCCTGATAGTTGTCCATGTACCTGGAAAGATTGGGAGTATCTGTCCGGAGAAGTGATAGCTACACCTTGCTATACCTGGTAAGTGACTATTATGTTTTACATATTTCCAAAACATCATTGCCTATTAATAAAGTGAACTTTATACTTAATACAGCAAATTTTGTAACTACATTGAAAAAGAAGGTGGTATGGGAAGGGAAATATCAAGGAAGAGAAACTATGAAGGAGAATACAAGAGAAAAGTTGAATGTAAAATCATGAATGAGGAAGCTGGTTATTTGGTAGCTCAGGATACAGCTAGATGAGCTTACATAGAATCATAGAATATCAGGGTTGGAAGGGATCTCAGGAGGTCATCTAGTCCAACCCCCTGCTCAAAGCAGGACCAATCCCCAAGCAGATTTTTGCCCTAGATCCCTAAATGGCCTTCTCAAGGATTGAACTCACAACCCTGGTTTTAGTAGGCCAGTAGCTCAAATCACTGAGCTATCCCCCATACTACTTTTCAGTAAGGCTTGGGGCTATGTGCAGGATAAGGTACTACTTAGTATGAGTGAGGATACCAGAATCTGTTCATTAGCCAAGACCATGAAAGAAAAAAAATGGGTCACAAAAAATTAAAGGAAATAGAACAACTAAACAGCATTAAAATATTTTTAAATTTGGAAAGCTAGCACCTGGATTTCTTTCACAGGTTTTCAACGTGGCCTGCATTGGCACCCACACAACTTTGTATGAGCTAACTCACATGTGGAAAAAAATCTAATTGAGGGACACAACCTGTTTGCACTTGCTTTGTAGTCAGCTTGCACATACAAATTAGTGACAGTGTGAAAATGTTACTAGCAAATTGTTGAGCTCGGAAAATTAATTACACATGCATAAGCAGAGGCTCTGGAATTTTTGCTGTCATTTACACCAGGCAACTCCATTTAAGTCACTTCATGTAACTGACAGCAAAATTTGGCCCTCCAAATGTAAGCAACTTTGGGGCTCGTTTGGCACAAGGACATCCATTGAGAGTAATAGGAGAGCTCCATCTACATTTAAACAAATGTAGATCCTGTCTCAGAAATATATCAAAATGAAACACAAACAGAAAGTTCTTAGTGTTCTAAGAATCTGGCTTAGGCATTGTAGAGTGGCATCACAGTACTGGAGTTATCCATGCTGCCAGTGCACCCTGAGGAGAAAGTGGGAATGCTCTCACATGCCATGGAATTGGTAGGGTTTTCATGTTCATTTTCTGCACATCTTTATCAAATATGTGGGTTTAAGGCCACCCTTTTGCCACTTCTGCAACACTGGCAAGCTCACAGTTTTGGGGCAGCATGCAGCACAACTCTGGGTTAACATGGCCATGCAAGTTTTCCCCTTCCTTGTTTTTTCCCCCCACAAGTCAAAATAAAGAGCATAAGAAAACTTCTTTGAAAAATAAGGGTTTGAAAGGAAAATAGCTTTTCTATGTGACATTATGGACTATATTACCTTTTCCTCACAGTGTTTGCCGGCGAGGGATATTCACATGCACCAGTTATCCTTGTCCTGCTGTGTGTACAGTTTATGGGGATCGACATTATTATACTTTTGATGGGTTGGAATATGATTACGTCAGTGACTGCCAAGCTTATTTAGTGAAGGTAGGAGAATTGTTCACACATTGCTTTTATTTTCCCTAGGCACACTCCTGTAGTAAAAAAAAAAAAAAAAAAAAAGAACTGGACTTGCAAAGGGAGCCTCTACATTTTTTCAATATCAATAGTTGATATATGGAAAGAGCCTTTAATAAAGAGGGCGCAACAGAGATGTAAGGGGAAATCTATAAAGAATTATCTTATAAATGGCTTTTTGTGCTAACACTATTTTGAATATGATGGTGATGATTTTTTTTATATAGTGGACAAAGTGTACATAGGTGCTCTAAGGACAAATAAAAGACAGAACCTGTCTCTGCCCTGCCATGATAAGGGAAGACAAATCAAAAGGATGTGTAGAGACCACCCTCATCAAGCCATCTCCTCAACTGCAGTTCCCATTGTGCTCCTCCATCTGTATCTTTTAGATTTAAGCTCTTTGTAGCAAAGGCTTTCTTTATTTTCTGTACTCAACCTTGCTGAGTAAGTTGTCAGCCTTAAAACAAATAGCAGGGCATAGGAACAGTTTAAGATTGGCTAACCATTATTTGCATCTAGCTAGAATTGCATCTAGCTAGCTTGTTCTAAACCAGTGGTTCTCAACCTATTTATCATTTTGGGCTGCATATGCGGCCCACAATGTGTTATGTGGGCTGCAAGTTGAGAACCACATCACCCCCACAAAAGCCCGGCACAGTCCCCTATGCCCAGCCCCCCTGCCCAGAGACCCCTCCACAGAGTGGGGCCAGGAGTGGAGCCCAGGGCGTGGGGATGGGCAGCCTGACTCCACACCATGGCAGCGCGGGTCTGGGCAGCCGAACCCCATATCCCGCCATGTGGGGCCGGGCAGCCTAAAACCTGGGCATGCTGTAGCACCCCCCACAAACCCCTAGTTCCCAGCGCCCCCATCCCCTCAGTGCTCAGAGTGCCCTCCCTTCCCACAAACCTTCCCAGAGACCCACTCTCCCGCCCTGCCTCCCTGCAGCACTCACCAGTTCCCCTGCTGACAGGAGCACTCCAGCAGGCTGCCAGATGCTATCTCCTCCTTAGCCAGCCCCACCTCCTTTCAGATCAGAATGGCAAATTTTGAATTTTTTTTAGCACACAGCTGGGCCGTGGATTGAGAACCGCTGTTCTAAACTAACCATATAGGTAATTGCTTTGCACTATATCCTCTGTCACTCAGAGAACAATAAAACGTGACAATGTAATTTCAAAATGACAGCTGTATTGCTCTCACAGGATATGTCTGCATTGCAGTAGACACCTGCAGCTGGCCCATGCTAGCTGATTTAGGCTTGAGCTGAAGGGCTGTTTAATTGTGGTGTAGATGTTCAGGTTTGGGGTGGACCCCTGGCTTTAGGACCCTGCAAGATGGGAGAGTTCCAGAGCGTGGGCTGCAGCTTGAGCCTGAATGTCTGCAATTAAACAGCCTCTTAGCCTGAGCCCCCAGAGCCCAAGCTGGAGTCAGCTGGCACGGGCCAGCTGCGGGTGTCTAATTGCAGTGTAATCATACCCAGAGACGGTTTTCCTGTAAGAGCAGCGAGCACGGAAACTACTGTGCAGCTAGATACAGCTTTTGCATTTGTTTGTTTATTTATTTGTTTTATATCACATGTTCATTTATAAAATGCACTTGGTTGGCATAGTTTCTAGGGGCCTGATCCACAATGCCCAAATCAGTGGAAGTCTTTCCATTGACTCCAATGGGATCTGGGTTACACCCTGAATGCATGTGTCTAATTAAACTCAAGTGTGCTGATTTAACAAAAAAGCCACAAATTCCTTTATTATGATTGGCTGGCAACTACATACTAATGTTCCTAATAGCAAATATTTACATTACTTGCCTATTTTGTGTAAAAATACCATTACTGACACTTCTAAATGTATCCTCCTGTTACTAAAAAAACACTAATTATTTCTTCTTCTTCTTGGTTTGTGCTTGTGGTAGTGTTTAAAATTGAGAATCTGTTTTTGGAATTCTAGTAGTGTCCTATAAAAGAATATTCTTACTATGCTAGTACAGTAACTCCTCACTTTATGTTGTAGTTATGTTCCTGAAAAATGTGACGGTAAGCGAAACAATGTTAAGTGAATCCAATTTCCCCATAAGAATTAATGTAAATGGAGGGGGGGGGGGTTAGGTTCCAGGGAATTTTTTTTCACCGGACAAAAGACTATATATATATATATATATATATATACACACACACACACACAGTATAAGTTTTAATCAAACAATTTAATACTGTTACACAGTGATGATGATTGTGAGGCTTGGTTGAGCTGGTGAAGTCAGAGGGTGGGATATTTCCCAGGGAATGCCTTACTGCTAAATGATGAACTAGCAATTGGCTGAGCCCTCAAGGGTTAACTCTCACACTCTACAAAGCAGCAGGAATGGAGGGAGGGGAGAGAACATCACAGAGAGAGAGATGCGCATTTCCCCTTTAAGTACACTGCCTTGTTAATTAGATCAGCTTGCTGAGACTGCAGCTGCTGCCAGCAAGCTCCCTCCGTCCTGAGCCCTGTCGTGTGTTCTCCCTGCTCTATGGAAGATGGGGTAAGCGGGGTGCAGGAGCAGGGAGGTGGGGGACACCCTGACATTAGCCCCCCTCTGCCTCCCCTCCCCCCTGTACAGCAAGCAGGAGTCTCGGGGAGCAGCTCCAAGGCAGAGGACAGGAGCAGCACATGGCAGTGAGGGGAGGGATAGCTGCAACTGCTAGCCTGCTGGGCAGCTGCTGCATAGGGAACTTAGGGGAGCGGGGAGCTGATAGGGGGGCTGCCAGTCCACTCTGGTTCCAAGCCCCCACTAGCTAGCTGCAACAGGCTGCTCTTCCTGCAAGCAGTGGACAAAGCAGGCGGCTGCCAAATGACGTTAG